ATCACAACATCTGCCCTGCTTGAAAAAACCATCAACGAGGACGTCTCCACTTTTCCGAATACATGTGAAAAGTCGACTGATGTTTGCAACGGTAGGCGTGATTTAAGCATTGAAAGTTTTAGTGTTAACTGTAAAATGTTGATGATGTGAAATGCTGATGTACTCTGCTTTTTGTGCAGATAACACAGAAGCTGAAAAAAGGCTGTCCACCCAGTGTGCACAGGCTGCCCACATAGAAGCGTCTGGCATGGCTAATACTCCGAGGGAAGATGTGGAGAATCCCTCTCAGTCCCAGGCTGATATTCATTCCATCGTCTCTGTTCAGAACAGTCAGACTTGTGAAAAATCCACACCATCCCTTTCTGGAGATCAGAATCTTCCCAGTGTCTCCACCATGGAAAGTGAAACACAGCTTGGCAAAAATCAAGAGAAAACTGTTTTGCTCAATGCAACCATGGAGATGACCTTAAGTGAAGCCACTGAGATAGTCACTGTGGAAACCAAAGCGAAAAAAAAAGTCAGCTCTGGCAGAAAGGACAAGGAGCAAAGCTGCAGCTCAAGTATAGAAGTGCAGAAGTCTGCATCTTTGTTACAAGCACATAAAAAGCCGCTGAAGGATCAAAGTACTGCCACTGTCACTCGCATTCCTAAACTGGGCAAGCATCAGAAAGTATCAAAGGATAAAGTCAAATCTTCTGACCGCACTAACATCTCAAATGTAGACCAAATGGATGTGGAAGATTACTTCTCTGATCCTAAAATGAGGTTTTCAAGCACCAGCAGAAGTGTGGCTGAAGAAACAAGTTCCAAAATAACATGCAGGAAGTCCAGAGCTAAAGGAAAGTGGGCCTCTTCAGTAACCAGGAAAAGTTTTTTCACTGTGCCGTCTGGTGAAAGTGAGGGCAGCCAATCCCACCAGGAGAAAGTCCAAAAACCTAAAGCGCGAGACGAAAGCTTACAGTCTCAAGTCTCTGAGGACGCTCTGCTTTGTGCACAACCAGAGTCAGAGCATGCGGAGCGTCTGTCCTTTAGCAAAACTAATACTGTGACTAATTCTAGGGGAGGTCACAAATCAAGATGCAGGGAGACATTTGTTATCTCAATAACCGGCGACAGTGACTCACCAGAGCATGATGTGGCGCCTCCTACAGGATCCAGTTTTCAGGCAGAAGAAGCAGTCATGAGGAACAGCGTTGTTGGACGTTTAGAATCAAGCAATCGTTCAAAGACTCGGCGCTCTGGGAAGCGATCCTGGGTGGCCACTCAGGACTCTGGGAACTGTCAAGAAGACTCAAGTAGCGGTGACAGTGGTGAAGCACTGCCACTAGACTGGCAGGCGGCTTTAGGATCACAGTTTCAAAAACCTAAAAAATCCAGGAGAGACAAAACAGGGCAGCCCAGCAGGAACAAAGTGGTGCAGCGAGAAGAGGGTGATGACTTGTTAGATGACAAGACGAAGAAAAAAGACAACAAAGACTTAAGATCTGAGAGTGAAACATGTTATCTTCCTGACCCTAGAGACGCCTCCGCTCTCTGCCTTGATTCTGAAATTGCTAAAGATCAATTACATGATTTACAAATGCTCGACTCACAGTCTGTCATCAGCGAAAAGCATGAAATCTTTGAACATCTGAATGATTCGCAGTCCAGGAGGGATTCGAGTCCCACATCATCTAGAAATGTATTCATGCTGAACACAGCCACGGAAACCAGATATCCCAGGAAGACTTTTGTTGTCTGCAGACGAAAAACTAAGAACAGAAGTGGATGTAGTTCTGAAAACATCACCAGGATGTCGAATGCATCGGACACCTGCAGTCACACGGTGGACACCAGCGACCAGGCAGTTCATCAGAATGTGGGCGACCTGCTGATGGATGAGCTGCCGCCGTGGCTGGACGTGGATAACGGCACAGCTCACTTCGATGTGGACTCTCTACCCGCCACTCCAAGCAGGGAAACACCAGGCAGGCTCGCGACAATTGGAACGGCTGAAGCCTCTCCAGGTGTGGAACAGTCTTTATTTACAGCAGTGCAGTCTAATGCAAGCACAGCTCTGTCATCAGCTCTTATGTTACTGAGTTTGTACATTTTTAGCTTTCATTTGTGACAGATGGGTAATAATTGTACTTTGTTTATCACTGAGGTCATAGCAGACAAAGGTCAAAGGTTCAATACCCTGTCACTTTAAGACATTAATGTTTGTGGCAAATGTCCCCAAAACATTTATCTGAACAGAAAAGTATATACATAAGGACAGATTGTGAATTTGGCTATCATAATGCAGTATAGGGCTGTGCGATATGATCAAAATCTCATATCCTCATATCCATCTATCGTCCCAATAACGATATAAATCACAAAAATGTAACATTTTCTGTAAATTCTGTGAATTTCGGGCAGCTCGGCTTGCATGAAGTGTTTCCAGCTGGGCGTCGCGTACCTGGAGTCGAGTGTTTTAACCAATGTATGAAACGATACATTTTTAGACATAAGTTGTAACGGCCGCCATTTTCTTTGTGAGTATTTATTACACGGCGTGCTGCGGGGAAAAGCCTGTTCTAACGTTTGAGTCTAAGGTTTATTTTTTAGCACCTGACGGCTCTTTTTTGCTTCTCATCCGTAAACACTCTGCATACTCTTTCACGTGATCCAGTTTATTTTGAAAAGTCTCAACAGGATCTTGAGCTTTATTGTGAAAGGTTTATGTGGAAAATAAACAAGCGGACACGCGATGGTTTTACCGTCGTTGTTGCTAATGACAACGCATAAAAACAGGCTCTTGTCCGTCTGTAGTGTGGTTATATAAAATATAAGAGAAAGAGAGAACTTTAACAAATTAATATAGCCACTACAGTGACCATCAAATCCATGAAAAAATATTGCCGTAAACAGTTTATTTTGCGACACCACAAAACGAACGATAGTGTAAAATGAAACGATAGACGTTTTTATATCGTCATCCGATATATATCGTTATATCGAACAGCCCTAATGCAGTATGAGTAAATGTAGAGGGTAGCTGAGAAGCAAAGCACAGAGTAATATGCATGCAGCATGCTATGATGCTGTGCTTAGCAGTACCTGTTTGTCCCCGCAGGCAGAGTCTTATCGACAGTAACCAACACTTTGACAACACCAGACTGTGAAAATGGAGAGAGAAGCAGGAGACGGAGACCTGGGAAGGGTGCCGTGAGTTACAAGGAGCCGCCTCTCAACAGGTGAGGATGTTTCTGTCTAAAATCTGTGGCCCTGCGAAAACCCAGAACAGCACAGTATTAACCTCATTTATGTTTTCTATCAGCAAAATAAGGCGTGGAGATAAATTCACTGACACCACATTCCTGAGTTCTCCTGTGTTTAAGGATGGCCGGAAGAAGAAGAAGATGACGACGACTGCCAAATGATAATTTGTCTTTTTTCCATTTTACTGTTTTTAAAAGTGATTTTAAGCTGTTTTCTTATTAAAGTTGTTTGCTAAAATCATTTTTCTACAGATTCGACCAGAAAGTATTGTGTGTCTTTAAGTGCTTTACATTTCACATTAAAGTAGAAATTTGAAGTATTTGTTCTTGAGTCTTTTCTTCAAGCTGTGTTCTGCTGACACTCAACAAGACAAAGTGTCACTAAAAAACTATTATAGTCATTATTGTTAACTTCTGTAAAGAGAATTTCCCAAATCTGGTTTAAAATGTATATCTTATCTTTAATGCTAGCACAGCTCAGTTGATGGACTTTTAGGGATTTGGGTTTTTTGTTTATGCACATATATCACATGTATAGCATTTAGTAAAATTTGTGTAATTTTTAGTAATGTCAAACTGGCATCAAAAAGGAAAAAATATATACCTCAGGGACATTGTCATATTGTTAAATGTTCAAATAATTAGAACCTGTTACTGTAATCGACAGTCAAAGTCATAATAAAGTAATCTGATATTTAGAATCGCCATGTATCATTGCTGTATGTTGGTAATACAAACAACAGCAGTAAGAAACATTGTTTTGATAAATAGCTCTGCGCTATCGTTGACATTCAGAACAGTCGAGTGACCTTGAAGGAGAGGTCGGGGATCAAATATGAAATAATAGTTTGAATCCTTTTACAGTACTTGTGTTGAGAATGTTTAACACAAGTACAAAGTTACAAGGCTTTGTTTATGACAACAGCTGAGTCATTAACTTGACAGATTTTAATGGATTGTTAACATGATCTACACTCCTATAAAGTTTTATTAGAATTCATTCAAAACTTCTTGATCTATCATGTTTACAGACAGAATGATGACATGCATGCATAACCTACTTGGCAGAGACAATAAGGTTTACCTCAGTCACTACATTGCTAAAATGCTGCGGTTTCAAATCAAATCAAATCACTTTTATTGTCACATCACATGTGCAGGTACATTGGTACAGCACATGTGAGTGAAGTTCTTGTGTGCGAGCTTCACAAGCAACAGAGTTGTGCAAAATACAATAATGTAAACAAGCAAAATACAAGAATGGCTAAATCTGAAACTAATAAATAATATATAGGTTTCCTTAACCTCCTAAGACCTGAACTCTTCCACAGCATGCATTTTTAATTTCTCTTTGCTATTTGGGCTGATTGGGACCTGATGAATGTAGAAACAAATAATTACCAGATTTTTTTAAACCAGATGTTTGGGTCTGAGAAAAATGAGATCCACATATGAGGACATTCAGTACTGGTTTGTAGTATTCTGATATTTTCCTCCTTATACATACATACATTTGTGTAAGTACTAATTTAGCCTTGTACCAAAGTTACAATATGCTATTATGTTGTTTTTCTCCCCTTGCTCCTATATTGATTGCAATAGGCACATTTATGCACGTCACTGCTCTCTGTGTTTCTACCTACCCTGCTTCACTTGTTTCCTTGGGATGTCTGGTTTGGTAATGATCAGACTGACAGGTCTGTTGTAAATTATTCAGGCTATGCTGTTCATCTGAGAAGTCTGCTGGACGTTGATGTTAAAAGCTTGTGTCCCACCTAGAAAGGTTAAAGCATTCAGTGTCGCATGACTGCAGTCGTCTATGTTTAGGATTTTGTATGATCGTGTCAGGTGAAGTACTGTAATCTCCTTTTGACCAGTTGAGTGAGTATCTTTCTTGAAAACACGTGCATGTGTTTAATGTGTTGCTGTTTGTTCTTTGTCTTTATCTAAAATGTGCTACACGGGGAAAAGGAATTCTAGTTTGGATTCGGAAATCATTGATTAGAGAGGAAGTGAGCCCAGTAAGGGTGTCAGGTTGTCTGTGAGATCATCAGTTAATCAATCCTGTATTTTAAGTGAACTGCCTGATGCAAGCTCATTGCCACCCTGATAGATTAAGACAGCGGTCTCCACCACCCGGGCCATGGACCGGTACCGGTCCATGAGTCGTTTGGTACTGGGCCGCGAGAGTTGAGGCTGTGATATTTATGGTTTTCGTGGTTTTTTTATCGTTAGCTCGGTTTCCCTGGTTCTTTACCCGTGTAGTTGTGTGTATTATTCTGAAAGAAATGTTTACACGTTACCATAGCGACTAGAGACCATTATGGGGCAGAGAGGAAATGCTCCTCCTGAAATGCGCCAACAACATTGAGAGTTGGCGCATCTCAGGGGGAAGCTGATAATAAAGTGACACAGTGAACTCGCGTTTATCATTATATTTACAAAATACCACAGTTTTTGCTTGGTCGTAACATTTTATTTTGTTGTATTTGTCTGCGACACCTTTAAGGCCGGTCCGTGGAAATACTGTCTGAGATTAAGCCTTTCCTTGGGGACCACTGGATTAAGAGATAAACTATCCAATCTCATCTGATAGAATTCACATCTACTTGCTTTGTTCCACTAAAGTATGTTTTGGTATTAATTTTAAAGGATTGAAATGGCTATTTGTCCCACGTCAGTTTTTGCATACTAATCGTTAATAACAAAATGTTGCAAATGTATTAAAAATCAACAACTAAAATATCTAATTTATAAAGGTATTTAGACCTTTAGTTGAGAAATTTTTGGAAGCCACTTTGCGTTTTGGTCTTGTGTTGCCTGTTTGCATAGATCATTCTGGGAACTTAACCAATGCAGAGGCTGGTTGGGCACATCAGTGAGCAGTCCTGCAGGAAGACGACAGTGCAAACTTGAGCCATGATGGCTTTGAGTGCCGGCAGAATGGTGACTGCCTATAGACCAAGACCTTAAGTTGTCTAGAGGATTTGCACGCCTGGTTGTGGACAGTATATCTTATTTCCCATGACAAAACTTCTTGAGCTCCTTCACATAGGATGGGTGGTGTCAGTAAACTGGCATCATAAGTCTCTCTAACGCAGGGGTCTCAAACTCCAGTCCTCGAGGGCTGGTGTTCTGAAACCTTTCCACATGTCCCTGTTGCAACACACCTGAATACAATTAGTAGGTCATTAGCAAGAGTCTAGAACTTGACTGAACTGCCACCTCAGCATGCTCTATACTTCTATAGAGTCCTGGTAATGACCTATTAACTGTATTCAGGTGTGTTGCAACAGGAACACATGAAGTTTCAGGATACCGGCCCTCGAGGAGTGGAGTTTGAGACCCCTGCTCTAACGTGGTCTGTAGGTTTAAAGCACAGGTGTTAAAGGGCCAGTGTGCTGCAGGTTTTCGATGTGTCCTTGATCCAATCCAACACAGCTGATTCAAATGGCTAAACTACCTCCTCAACATGTCATGAAGTTCTCCAGAAGCCTGGTAATGAACTAATCATTTGATTAAGGTGTGTTGACCCAGGGTGCTATCTAAAAGCTGCAAGACACCAGCCCTCGAGGCCTGGAGTTACACACCCCTGGTTTAAAGCATTGGCGTTATACTACCACTACCTTGCTTCACTCTAAGGATGGTATCAGCACACACACTGCCTCTAGTTTATTAGTGCAAAGAGTTTATATTTTTTGTAATCCTTTTCCATGTGCTCACAGAGGCCTTTCAGAGCTTTCTGACAAACACAAAAGCTGATACGGTACCCTGTTAAGGAATTATATTCATGTCAAAAACTGCAGGTGAGAAAAAACGCAGCCAGGAGCAAATAATTTCATTTCATGGGTGCAGATATTCATTGCCACTCAATCAGTTACATTCTTTGTGTATAAATTCAATAACCTGCAGGTGTAGAACTCAGCAGCCGCACACATAGAGAAGCCATCATGCATGCAACATCGAATTCTATAACTTTCTTGCACAGTCTTCTGTTTATCGAGGATTGGTTCCTGGTAAGTTGGTCCTTTCCCTGGTGTGCACTATTTCTGCTCAAACTGGCCAGATGCCCATCTCTATGAAGTCTCCCAGTGACTGGAGAATTCAATAAAAATGAACAGGAGGCACATCAAAGGGTCTGAATATGTTAACTGAAACATTAAAAGCATGGTTTCACATTCAGTTAGGTTACATGTTGTTAGGAAAATTACACTTTTATCATTCAAAAATGAATAAAACAACAAATTGCACAAAACTCTGAGGTGACTAGTTAAGATGTAGAAGATGTACTGTGGACTCTACATGTGTTGATTTCTCTGCAGGAGTCCTAGATGAAAGGATTTCATTCAGAAAATGGAGGCAAACAAGCTCAAAAGAGATGTTGAGGCCCTTATGTGAGTGGATGCTAAAATGTTACAAAGCATACCGTGCAGTCGGTAAGTAAACTGGCAACTGGTTCATTTTCTCCTGTTCCCAAACAGAGACAACTACATTGGACAGAAACTTAGGGAAGACGCCTTTGATCCGAAGGGCAAGGGAACTTTCACAGCGCTGGATGACTTGGTAAAAACTCAGCAGAAGCAACCAATGCTAAAATAATGTTTTAATGTATAACTAAGTAGAGCTGGCAACTTCTGTGTGACATGTTGTAGGCTCACTATGATCTTGCAATCAGTGTTGCCCTTTGGTGGCTGGAGAAGAAGGAAGGACGACATGTGCTCGACAGAGAGATCATGTACGTTTTCTGTTTTTTAAAGTTAAACGTTCTATCATTGATAATCCTGAATTATGTTTATTATGCTCACAAAATTTAGTAAAAATTAAATAACAAGTATAAAAATAAACAAAACTTTGGTAAAAGCAGCTGTAATAACACATGATGCCGTACAGTGCTTTTACAAAGGCAAATGAATAGAGTCAGTTGGTGGATTGGTTGCCTTTCATCACCTTCCTCCTGCACCACAGTGGAGCAACATGCAGTTTAGGAAGTGCCCAGTATCCTAATCGCTTAGAGCGGGAGGCTATGATCTTGTCATCCTTTGCTGGGATTATTATGGTAAGGATTTTTACATGTAAATGCAACTTTTAATAAATCTAAAAGCTGAAGGTAAACTCTCGAAAAACCTTCCTGAAAGTACTTTGATGCACTTAATGCCTAAACTGCTTATTTTAGCTGTTGTGTGTTTCTGTTTAGAGTAGCCTGCCAGTGGAGGAAATCTTGACTCTGTACAGGTGTAAACCAGCCGCTTCATACCCCAACCAGAAGTCCAAGGTACAAAAGTGTCCTAGTTAGGAAAGTGGCTGCAACTGTTTTATCCTTTTTGAAACATAATTTTGCCTAAAAACATTTCATTCCTTTTTCTTTTTCTTAACCCAAGGGCTCAATTGTCTATCCCATCACTCTGTCCTATCATCCGTTTGCAATACTTGGATCCTACAAGGCCGTGTACCACTCCAAGAAACACAGTAAGTGTGTGTTGTCTGGTTTAGCCTTTATGGTAGTGACAAGAGAATAAAGATACAAATTGTTTCTCAAATGGGAATCAAATAGATTTCTATACAATTAAACTGCTTTGTACAACCAAAGCGGGCGCGAGTTGCTGGCAACTTTAATACAGTCTATACTTGAAACAAGTCTCAAAACGGAGTGCGTCTGGTGCTTGGCAAGAATATTTAGATTTTATGAGTACATATAAAATATAAGCAACTTAAAATAAGATTTTCTTTCCTTTTTTTTACTCTTTCTGGAGACACACTCCTCAACAGATAAATGAGTATAGCAAAACCTCTCTGACCTCTTAGTAGTGTACTCAGCAGTATTTATCTTGAGTTTCCTGGGAAACTTTAAGTAAAAAAACAAAACAAAAGCAAGAACTTTTCCTTCTTTTGAGTTTTAATCTTCTTTGATCTGTGTTTTGTTTCTTTAAACAATATAGACAACATCATCAACAATGTACTATTCTGTCTACATGAACTTTTATGACTTCTGTTTTGTTTTTTCTTTGATTTTTTGCAAAAAGTGCTCTTTTGCCAAACGTTATTCTTTAAAAGTATTTATCAGTTTGCAGAATGTTTGATTTTGGAGCCAAGTAGAAATATAAGGAATACAAAACAGAAGCACTCAAACATGTACTTCAGTTCAGTAGTGACTGAGTAAAGCTATTCTGCAGACTCAGGCTGACTGCAATTGACAGCAGTTATTTGCTGGGAGGCAGGTTTGCTCCTACCAGGTGACCAGTGAGCAAAAATGGTTTCAAACCAGTTGGTTGCTTCAAATGCCAAATGTGAAAGAAAATTCATTCCAATCATCCTGGGAGGTTTTTCAATCTAGTGTGACTGAGCCATTAATATTCTGAAGGACTGTTTTTTGTTTTGTTTTTTGAAAACCCCAAAACGAAACTCTTGCAGATCAGAAGCTGAAACGATGGCTGTCCGGGCAGACAAAGGCAAGTGCTCCACCGAAGCAAGTTTCATCTTCGTTTTCCACTTCATCTCAGTCCTTCATCAGTGTGAGTACCGTATCTGAGCAATCACCATATGTGTGGTAGGCAAAATAAGAACTCTAAAAGATCTCTAAATACCAAGGAAAAATACTTCAGTAGTCAGTACAAATCATGTAAATGGCTCCTGTGTTTCCCATCATATACCATATACAACATGCAGATATGTTTTAAACTTTTAACCACTTGCTAAACTCAGCTGCATACTCTGTTTTATTAACACCTGCTGCTTACTAAGTCTCATTGTGTGCAACCCCCACCTCCCCCCCCAATTACAAATAAAGACAAGCAGCTTTATTTCAATGATGAAAGTAAAGTGAAGGTTGCATCTTCAAGAGACAGTAGCTTCAGCACATCAGACACACCTCGATATTTAATAATCTGACATCAAGCAGATTATTAAAGACTGCCTTTATTGTACATAGAGCCAAATTAAAATAATACTCTATGGTGCCATGGTATAAGACAAGATGTTGACTAAAACACGAGACGGTAGCACGTAGAATAAATAAAATCACACCTTTTAGGTTTTTTTCTTATTTAACATCCGCACCGCCTGCTGAAACAACCTTTTGCTAAATCTGGACGTGTGAGTCTTGGCCTATAACACCTGCCATAGATGATGGCCCGGGTGAGTGAAGTCCTGGACAATTTTGGTATTTCTGCTGAGGTAGCGTGATATGGCACTCTCCTCCAGAAACAAGCAGTCAGTTCTTTTCTGTGCAGTTCTTATCGCTCATTCCTGCACTTTCTTTTGGAAGTTGCAGTGGTGTTGGCCGACCAGGAGAGGTCCTCGTATATGAAACCCCCAGGATGTCTGCACCCTTCCTACGTGTGCTCCATTTATACAGAGGGGCAGAACTGTGTCATATTTCCTCCACTAATAATGCAGTTGTCTTTGTGGTGATGAGTCTCTGGTTATTCACCAAGAATCACTCAGATAGTCTTCATAGCTCTTCTCTGTATGCTGACTCATTTCTTGTGATAAGCTTAATGATGGTTGTGTCTAATTTAATTATGGTGTTATAGGAGCGGACAGGTACGCAGTGATGGAGTAGTAGAGGTGAGGACCTAGTTTGACTGTCTGTGAACGGCTGGTGAGGAAGTCTTTGGTCCTGTTGCCGATGGGGATCGAGAGGCCAAGTCATGTAGCATGCTGGTTAGCATGTCCACAGGATGTCCAGCTCTGTGTTCCAGGTGGTTTAGTGCTGTGTGGATGGTGATGGCCTCTTCGGTGGGTCTGTTAGCTTTGTGTGCAAACTGATGTGAGCTAAATGTGGAAGAGAGGCTGGTTTTGATATGATGCAGGACCAGTGTCTCAAATCACCTCTTAATCAGTTAGGTAAATGTAGCTGACTTTATGCATTTCTAGAGCTGACTGACCTGAACGCACATCCTATTCCTGCAGAGTGAATCTATGAAATCTTTTGGCCTCAAATTGGAAGAAGAAACAATTTAGTTCCTCCGTGTTGCCATTCAGATGTTGCAGATGTTCCCTTTGTTGTTGTAGTCTTCATCAGACCTTTCTTGAGTTGTTACATGTCAGGTGGTCCTCAGTGCCACTGTTGTAGGCCCTCTTAGTCTCCTGTAAATACAGTTTGGGTAATGCGGTTCTTTTTTTCTTAGTATTCCCACATTTCCCTGACCTCATGGCATTTTCAGTCTAAGTTAAGGAAAAGTGATTAGGAAAAGCGATAGGAAGTAATTTTGAAATGTTCAACATCAGTCCAGAAATATTTCAGAGAAAAGACTAGGCTTTGAAATGGCCAAAGCCAAGAAGGAAATATTTGAACAGTAATTTCTTTTTCCAACGTCTGCATTGAAAATCCTCTGCTGCCACCCTGTGGATCTAAAAAGACCTCCCATACGCTCTGCTTCACTTTTAGGAAAGCAGTGATGTTCACCAGGAAAGGACTGAGCACTATGAAAGCTCGCAAGAGTCTCTGCACAACTGACGTCAACCTCCAGCAGCTGCCAGAAGTAGAGACATTGAGCTGGAGCAATAATACTAACATGAAATGGTAAAACTGCTCAGTTGAATGTTAACGTACTCAACTAAAAATGTCACTTAAACTCAAAAATGCACTTGAAGTACTCAGAAATAAAAGAGACATAAACAGAGAAGTATTTTCTGTCAACTGGGCTCTGTGTTATTTGATAATGCATTATATGAATAAGTTGTTACTACATTCAATGTCATGCTTTAATGTGTTTCCTTCACTCTGTACTCCTCGCAAAGTGCCATACCAGACTGTGTTGGTGGAGTTTATGCGATTATGGAGGTCTGATAACCTGAAGCACAACTCCATGCTTCTTGGTCAAACAGCCTTTGGTGATGCTGGAGATGTGCAATGACTCAAACTACTGATGGTCTCACTGGAGTCAGAGATTTTTAAAAATATATTATTTACCCAGGAAAAATACAACTCTTGGAGTTAAAAATGGCTTGTCCTCACCAAGAAAGACACAGCTCATACACAAGGTCAGGGTTTACTGATTTTCATATTTGATATGACCTTGACCTAATTTTCATCAAAATTAAATTGGCTCAACCTGTCACTGGTATCTATCTGGACTGGACTTCTTTAAGTTGTTTGAAGACGTTTTTATTTCTCATCCAAGAGGTTTCTTCAGTTCTAAAACCAAAAGGTGGAGAGTCCCGGATATTTAAACCCTAGTAGGGATTGGTAAATGGACTGATCCTTATATAGCAATTTTCTACTCTATCTGAGCACTCAAAGTGCTTTACACAACTTGTCACACCAGTACTTTTCCCCCCTAAGCACTTACTATCTAACATTCCTACATACCCCGATGGATGCATCAGAGAGCAACATGGGGTTAGTATCTTGCCCAAGGATATTTGACATGTAGACTGCGATCAAACCGCAAACCTCCCAGTTAGTTAGTAGGTGACCTGCTCTACCACCTGAGCTACAGCCACCCTCAGGATCGATTCTGTGAAGGGTCGTTGAAACACTATTGATCATGTATGTCATCAAAAGGTCCAGGGTGTGAAAAAAAGGCGTGGGTCATTACCAACAGAGGTTTCGGGAGACACCTGTGTGACAACCTCAACCTCTCATGTACCTATTGAAGTCACCTGATGAGTTGGGGTTGAGGCGCCTGGGAAGGGATCTCAAAACTGGATTGTAGGTGGCAGACAGTGTGTCGTAGGCCTCTGTTCAATGACGGTCATTCACAGTAGACATAGAGGCCTGTTTCAGTCCTTTTTCAAACCATCTTTCTTCTCTGTCCAAAATGTGAACGCCGGGAACCTTTAAAAGAGTGAACTCTATCCTTTAGGTGCAGATATACAGCTGAGCCTTGTCCCGTCGAGGTGGCATGCGTTTGTGGAGTGGCTGTTTGGTTTCTCCCATGTACAAGTCTAGGCACTCCTCATAGCATACAGCAATATAAGTTTATGCTTTTGACAAGATTCACTTATTACCTGTTAAACATTCCAGTTTTGTCTTTGATGAAAACAATGAAATCATTTTTGTTACCTCGGGTTATGTTATTAATTTAGAGAATCAGTTTGTGGATAAATGATTATTGTAGGTTTGTTACCTTGCAGTATAAACTACCCTGATGCAACTGTTGTTGCGGCTATATAAATACAATTGAATTGTTATAGAAATGTAAGAAAATCTCAAATGATTGACTTTTAGAATCAGTCCTAATCCATGCCCAGTAATATTTAGAAGCATTCGTTACCATTGTAAGAGAAAAACTGGATATTTGGTATCTCTTTACAATTACATATCAGATTGTTTGTAGAGTTACTAAAACTGTCAAATAAGTGTACCTGAATACAAACTCCAAAGTGACACAAAGTAAAAGCACCTAAATATCACTTTGGTACTGATATTGACTTTACACTGAAGGTGCCTGGTCCCATTTTCCTCATACAAATAAAACACACAAATCCACATTTTTCTTTTTTGGAATTTCTGCAAATGTTTATAGAGGCTGATTCATTTTGTGATTACCTCTGACATTCTGCGAGCAAAGATTAATCTCCTTGATGAGTGGATAAAATGTGTCTCTAATGTCCATATCAATAAAGAGGGCACAGTGGGTCAGTAATTTGCCTGGTAGGACTTTTGCATTGATGATTCAGGGATTTTCGCTGTATGCGCAGGATCAAGACTCTTGGCAACGATGCCAGTACGTTAAATCCCCACTCATTGAAAAAACAGCTAAAGTGGGATCTGCTAACCCTTTGATTGAGGTTTATATAGCGGGGCTCTGGTGCTGCTTTGTGAGACCACCATTTTTCTGTAGGTGACTGGCTCCAGCACACTGCAGGATGAGTAGTAAGGTAAGAGAGATTCATTTTGTTTAGAAGTGGGCTTCTTCAAGCTGACAAGTTGTGTTGCAGCTTCTCAAATAATGATTAGGTTCTAAAAACTAAACTGCCAGACACACCGACAAACTGACAGTGCCTTTAACTGACTTTAACAACCCATGACATGATCAACACTACCAGAATCACACATACAGGCTCGACTGAAATCTGTAGTACAGCATCACCAAACTTGGCTGTGACTGCCTCTGTCCACCCTCCTCCTCCTCCCCTGGCTTTAGATCATATTCTATGAGGACAGAAACTTCCAGGGTCGCTCGTATGAGTGCGACACCGACTGCCCTGACATGCACCCCCACTTCAGCCGCTGCAACTCTATCAAGGTGGAAAGTGGTTGCTGGGTGCTGTATGAGAAGCCCAACTACACTGGCTACCAGTATGTTCTGACCAGAGGCGAGTACCCAGACTACCAGCGCTGGATGGGCTACAACGACACCATCCGCTCCTGCCGTACCTTCTCCTATGTGAGTGAACAGGAAACTATGTGCAGTTAATACTATGAAAAATGTCATTTGAGAATTACATTTTCTGACTTAGAAGTGGTTTTATGTCATTATTTAGATGATTAAACCACTGATTTTTACTGTTTTCTATGTGCACAAGCCAAATAACATGATTAAAATATTAGATATTTTTTCCTTCCAACTAAAGTTGCACTTTAATAAGAGTTTAGATTTAGTTGCTGAAAAGTGCTTTCCCTGTAAAGAATCTACATGAAATAGTTCAAGGTCAGGTGTAGGAGAAGGTAATGTTTGGCAAACAAGTAAATAAAAGTCAATTATAAATGTCAAATAAGTTGTTGTTGCTGTTTTCTCATAATTATGACACATTGTAAAACTGTATTAAATCAGGTTCCATGTATTATCTGTATATTATTATTTTTTATTTTAAGCACGTCTATGTTTAACTATTCTTTTGATGTGGCACGACAAATAAATACCAGCCTCTGACATTACTTAATGAAATTTTATTTGCTCACATGCAGATATCACTGAACAAGGCCAATGTAGGCCAACATTTAGATGATATATTAATGCAGTCCTACAAATTTAAAATAAAAAAAACCCCAATGGTTTTGACATTTTTTTTTTTTTTAGACACATTTATTTTTTAAGAGTAAGCTATGTCAATTTCCAATAAATCTTCCCCTCACACACACCCATACAGAGCTGCAGAGGTACTGATGCTACTCTAATTTTGTGTTTTACCTTACTGCTATGTTCATCCAGACCAGCGAGGGGCCCTACCGCATGCGCATCTACGAGCGACCCAACTTCCAGGGTCAGATGATGGAGTTCAGTGAGGACTGCGAGTCGGTGCAGGATCATTTTCGGAGCCGTGACATCTATTCCTGCAATGTCATGGACGGCTACTGGACCCTCTACGAGCACCCAAACTACCGTGGCAGGCAGTACTTCATGAAGCCCGGGGAGTACCGCAAGTTCAGTGACTGGGGGGCCACCTGCGCCACCACTGGCTCCTTCCGCAGAATCACAGAGTTCTAATCTGGATTGAATCGCTATAGAAAAACAAAACGAAATAAAAATGGTAACGTGTCTCAGCGATTGACTTGGCATTATTAAGATATAACTTCCTAAATAAATGGAGCTGTTGTTAAACTACTTTCTGTGCTTTCTTTGTTACTGACTGATTTAACTAACGTCACATGAAATGACACATAAATTTTGTGGAAACATTTCCAGCATTTAAGTATCATCATTTATTATATGGACATTCCACACATTGACACATTTATTTGAAACCTTAATAGTTTCCTGTGCCAGAATGAGCCTTTATCTCATTTTGACATACTTGCACATTCAATAAGGAGGTTGCCATGTGGCATTAATATAATTAAAATGAACATGGCATTGTTCTGCTTAATTTTTACTGCATAAAATTTAGTGAAATTGCAGCAGAGAGTTTTAGAACACACTCACTGGCACGAGTGTCTCTAACTCTTTGTAATAAGGTAATTATTTACTTTCTGAATTCTCCTGATTAAAAAAAGGGCTAATTTTTGGTGTAATGTTTGTTGGAAGTACGGTTTTTAGTTTTTCTAGTAGTCAGTCTCACTCCTACAGAAAATTATAAATCAATATCAACACACACCAGCAAAAAGAAACGTTTTATAGGCATTTACTCACCCTTCATACTCTGAATCCAGCCCATTTAAAGCAAACACATGAAGATTGAAAGACCTGTGACTGTTCCAGCGCCTGCACATGTTGTAGCTCTTGCTGGAAGCTGTATGGCATCTGTTAACCTGAACACAGGACATGACAAACAGGAGTGGGAAGACTCTTGTAATATTTCTGCTGACACCACGCCTCATTTAAATAACACCAACTGCTCCTAAAAGGGTATTGTATATAAAGATGGAAGCTAATTTTAGGATTTAAAAACGCAGGAAGAAGTTTGACCAACAACAGCAGGCATTATGGGAAAGGTTTGTATGTCGTTTTACATGACGGATATCTGTAGATCAAAAATGAGCTTACATGCCTTTTTCTGTCCCTCGGTCAGATCATCTTCTATGAGGACAAGAACTTTGGAGGCCGTTACTATGAGTGCATGAGCGACTGTGCCAACTTGCACTCTATGTTTGACCACTGCCGCTCCATTAGAGTGGAAAGTGGCATGTTTATGATCTATGACCGTCCGGGCTACGCGGGAAACCAATACTTCATGAGGAGGGGAGAGTACTCTGACTACATGGGCATGACCGGCATGAATGACTGTGTCAGATCTTGTCGCATGATCCCCTCGGTAAGAACCTCAGTAAAATACCATCACTGTGTCATACTGCATCTTAACCTCTTACAATAATAGATTCAGCGCACAGAAAAACATACACAAACTATTCAATGATTTTCTTTTTCGATTAAAAAAGTAACTACTCTGAAATTAGAAATGAAGGTGATTTCACTTAAACTAAAGAGGTCACTGCTGACTGCTCCAAAGCTGATAAAGTGCTGCTTTTGTGCTCTTCTGTTAATTCTAATGTTTTAAATTTTGCTTGCTTGTCCTCCAACATAACTGCCAAGCAGCAGACTGTATACTTGACTTTTAGCATGTAGCATCAGCCAATAAATGGGCTAATTTTGCTACAGCAATCTGTGTTCAGAGGTGTTTTTGGTTTAAAAAATATAAACTATCCTATCCCACCAGAGAACTTTTGTTTTCTGGGTAGAGGACCATGATGTAATATCCTTTTCGTCAACCATAGTAGCCACACGCTAGCTTGTTACTGTCTTTTTTCTCCCGTTTTATGGACAGTGGCAAGCTGGGTAAATTGTTAAGATGTATTAGAGTGAAAATCAGTCTGTTAATTGCACTGGTTTACATTATCAGATACTTGTGATACTTGTAATACATAATACTTGATATTAATATTTCATTTTTAAAAAGTATGGTGGTACTGGTATGTTAACATTAATTAACACGTACCATGCCTACCAGTGGTGTAGAGTAGAAATGGCCTAGAAACAGGCATCAGTGTTTACTCTCTTCTTTTAGTGCCAGTATCTATGCTAAGCTAGGCTAAGCAGCTTATTGCAGATATTTTATTAGGTATGTGGTGCATCATCTAACTCACAGCTATGCACATGAACAGATTTCACAAAAAACAAACCTAATGTGACCGTTTGACTTTCCTGACCTCTGCAGCACAGTGGCAGCTTCAGGATGAGGCTGTATGAGCATTTCGACATGGAAGGTGGAATGATGGAACTGACGGATGACTGTCCTAATCTCATGGACCGTTTCCGCCTCTCCAACTTCAACTCCTGCAATGTGATAGATGGCCACTGGCTGATGTATGAGCAACACCACTACAGGGGGCGCCACTACTACCTCTCACCTGGCCATTATAGGAGCTTCAGCAACTGGAACGCCATTAGCTCCAGGGTTGGGTCCATCCGACGTCTCATGGATTTATAAAGACGGAAGGACAGTTCTTGTGAAATGTCTACTCTTTGCCTTGTTTTACACACTGAATAAAATGGCATCAGTGCTCAAGTGTACTCCGTTTTGTTTTTGCTCTCTGCATCTAGAGGGCATCTTTCCCCAGGAGAATGTGCTGGGCTTGTGGCCTGACATCCTAACTCTCATAAGAGGATTGAATAAAATCATTCAAGCACTAACACTTTTCTCACCCAGGCTCAAGTGTTATCTATTGGACCTTTGTGTTTGTTTAGACATGAGCAAATATCCTACAAATTAACACAAGCATTTTGAAAGGTTGTCAGTAAAAATGTAAACATTGTTTCTATTTTGGTCAGAAATAAAGCTCACCACCAGATGGCAGTGGTAGAATAAAAATTACATAAAACACAAACTATCATTCTGTTGACAAAAACACAGACAGACTCATTTCTACCATGGGAAAAAATATTCTAATCAAGTAGCTCCAAACAAAAAACTGGAGGTTTTTATGAATGTAAACATTTAGAAGATATCTTGGTTAACGTGGGTGGAGCATAAACCCTCAGTCTGAGGTAAATTTTAGCAGTGCAACAACAAACAGCACCCATTCAGAGTTGACATTGGACCAGTCAGCGCTCACCTGTACATACATAATCCCCAAACATCTCTTCAGGATAACACAACGGCACAAATGCCAAAGATTCCTGGCATTACAATATGAATGACACGTGCAGAGTCTGCATTTCACATTCACTATATATGTAACAGGTTTGAGTCTTCAAAGAGCTGGATGGATCATACAGAGACTAGGCACAGGGCAGGAGAAGCAGCCAACATGGGGAAGGTAAAAATGACAGTTTTGGGCAAACAAGCAGGTGGGGTACGAAATGCTAATAGGCTTCCTGAGTGTTCACAACTTGTACCGAGATGTCCATTAAAACCATGAAAATGCTTGTAATACTCAAGCAAATATGATAATATTTGTTTCCAATGAACATATTTGCAGTGCAAACACTGAAAAATATATGATTTGTATGTTTAGATTATCTTCTATGAGGACAACAACTTCTCTGGGCACCATTTTGAGTGCTGTAATGACTGTGAGGACTTGTTAAGCCGACTCAGCCGCTGCAACTCAATCAAGGTGGAGAGTGGTTGCTTCATGATCTATGAAAAACCCAATTACTCTGGTAACCAGTACTACCTGAAGAGAGGAGAGTATCCGGACTTCCATCACTGGATGGGTGTCAACGAGTCTGTCAGCTCCTGTCGTCACATCCCTACGGTGAGCTACTGTTAGTTGGCCAAACCCAGCCTTATACATTCGCTAGAGTTCACACTGCCTCTTGATAGATTGTGAGAATGTAAACTAACCAGACCTAACTTTTATTGAAACAATTTTTAAACCTTTGTTTTTAAAATGTATTTCAAGATTTTGCAAACACTTTTTAACCTACAGGTTTAAAAACAGTCTCCATTATAGACTCATTTATAATCTTAGCTGCCGTTCTGTTTTTAATATTTTCTAAGTAATAGCATATTATGTCTAATTTACTTATTCCAAGCTGTTATATAAATCAAATGGATCTTTATACAAGAGGGTGCATCTTAATTGTTGCTATTGATCTTCCAAAAACAACTGTTGTAGGACTAATTTTGCCTTTGGTGTAATATATTTTAAATGTTAGCATGATTTCACTGTTCGTTCACCTTAAAGAAAGGCTAAATCAGTATTTGAATTTAATTTTACTTTGGATTTTCTTTGAAGAAAATGTAAAAAGAGGGTAACTTTTACCATGAAAATGGTCAAATCAGATATGAATACATGACGTTTTGCTAATTATAACTTTATTTAAATAACTACAGAATTAGTCTGCTCTATAAAGGTGAATAAATGCTGACACAAATCTAATGCCTATCAAAACACTTTATAATGAAAATATCCATCCAGTCAATCTGTACCACAGTTTTTAGAGTCTTGAAGATGGGCTGGCCCAGGTACTGGATTTCCACCCACAGGTTTTGCAGACTCTAGTTGTAAATGAGCCATTAACACATGTTTTAAAGTCCACTTTAAGTATTTTTTGCCTTCACTTTTTGTGCAATCTGAGGAAGTGGAACTGTGTCTTTCATTTTGACCAAAGTTAGCATGTTTAGCTAGGTTAGCTAGCAAGCTAAAAACATATTATTTCATTGTCGTTCAAAAAATCAGTTTCCCAAACTCATTCAGTATTATTTCCTTGTAGCAAAATAGAAGATTCCATAATTACATTCGAGAGTCATTACAAATATAACAACTTTTTTTTTGTAGAGGTAGTTCCTGAAGGTGCAGCTGAGTAAATGATGACCATCTTTGATTCAAAACTAGGAGCCTGGGATGTTCAACATGCGCCTGTATGAGCGGATCGAGTTTGGGGGTCAGGTGATGGACCTTGTGGATGACTGTCCCAGTGTCATGGATCGCTTCCACGTTAATGACATCTTCTCCTGCAACGTGAAAAATGGCAACTGGCTCTTCTACGAGCACCCAAACTACCGGGGCAAGATGTACCTGATAAGGCCTGGAGAGTATAAGAGGTTCAGTGAGTGGGGTGGCAGGAGTGCCAGAGTCGGATCCATCAAACGCATCATGGACTATTGACCACTTTTGGTAGTTGCCAGAGCTACATGAATATTTTAGAGAGCCTTCATACTCAGATAATTATGCTTGCAACACTAAAGAAAGAAACAGAAAACAGTTTTTGTCACTTAATCAAAATACTACTGTCCTGCATCAGAACATTCCCTTATGTAAAGCTTGGGCTCACCATTGGACTCACCATTGTAATAAAGCAATTGCAAAATGGAGTCGTCATAGTCCATTCAGTTGTGAGGAGGACCTCATTTATCAAAGCATGATTTGTTAGTACTGTAACGTTTCAAACAAACAGATTAGTCCATGGTGGTAACCTGATCTGAGTAAGACATTTTTGTAAGTCCTTCATATGAAGTCATAGCCAACATGTTTGATACTTTAGAAATGTTGACTCACATAAAAAAAAAAACCCAACAAGCAAACAGCTGGCAGCTTGTGCAAATTATGTGCTGGCTCTATTAAATATCAGTATTATTCTGCTGATGTTGTGCAGGACTATGTGACTATCATCCTATTGTACAACAGCATTTTCGGGAAGAAATTGTGATGAACATGGAGGAAAGAACAATAACGACACACACCAAGAGTCATCTATACATAAACAGATTTTCCTATCTGCCCACCCCCACTTGTGATCCATCATCACTGTGGGGATATATTTAAATGACAATACTTTATGCTGTGCAATCACACAGCAGTCCTTTCTTTCTTTCTTTTTTATAAAGCACAGTAGCTTGGCTCAGGGACAGCACTGGTAATAGAGTCTGATGCCAACACAACCATGGGAAAGGTAAAGAAACTAAATGTTGTGGTTTTACAAAACTCCTGTTTTTGTGGCTTCTAACAGCACTCTGTAAAAAAGTGTCCGTGTGTGCCTGTTGCTTTTGCAGATCATTTTTTACGAAGACAGAAACTTCCAAGGGCGCTCTCATGAGTGCAGCAGCGACTGTGCCGATCTTCACACCTACTTCAACAGATGCAACTCCATCAGGGTGGAGAGTGGCTGCTTCATGGTGTATGAGAGGCCCAACTACATGGGCAATCAGTACTATCTGAGGAGAGGAGAGTACTCTGATAACCAGCGTATGATTGGCATTAATGACTGTGTCAGATCTTGCCGTATGATCCCACAGGTAGGTCATAATGACTTGCTTTAAGACTCTGTTATAACCCCATAATATCCATCAGGTTACCAGAAACCCATATTGGGTTACTGCTAAATGGGCAGATATTCAGAAACTATAAATTAATTTTAGCACCATAGAGTTTACTGAAAGCTCTTTTGCAAGATGTTAATAGACAAAAATATTATATTAAGGGACTAGTTTTTAAATCCTTATAGGTTACCCAGTCAACTCTTGCTTTTCAAAAATGTTTTAAGTAATTAAATGCATGTAAAGAAGGACCTGATTGGGGAGATTATAAGAGTTTTTTTTTTAATTTCTTTGCTAGCACCAGGGTTCCTACAGGATGAGGCTTTACGAGCGTGCTGACATGACCGGGCAGATGCATGAGCTGGTCGATGACTGTCCAAATGTCCAAGACCAACTCAGCATGTCTGATTTCAACTCCTGCAATGTGATGGACGGCCACTGGCTACTGTACGACCAACCTAACTACAAGGGCAGAGTGTACTACCTGAGGCCTGGAGAGTATCGGAGGTACAGTGACTGGGGAGGCATCAGCCCAAGGATCGGCTCCATCAGAAGAATCACTGACTTCAACTGAAGTCAAGCTTCATTTAAATGCATCTTTCAGTGACTTGAATTGTCTGTATTCCCAATAAACTTTAACTGCTTAATAAAACAAGCATCTTTTATTTCCATGTATCACTACAAAACTTCATTAATATTTTGCAAAGGACCCTTAAGATGGCAGATGAGTTTTTTCTTGCAATCAAATGTTACAGAATGGAAAATAAGTACTCTTTGGGGCCAGTGGTGAAACAATTTATCTACCAGCTTCTGGGTAACCGGGCACTATAGTTTAATCTCCTCTATGCATACCATGGCAAACAATACCTCTCCCAGTTGGTTGGCTCGATAGGATTAGCTGGTCTGCGGTGGGAGAATTTATCCATACGATTAGTGTTAAACACTACGCTGCACGGTGTAGGAGAGGAAACTGATCCTGGACACCTCTGACAACAAATGACAAAATATGGAATAAACAATGTAAGAATGAGATTGATCTGGCAAAGATGGTAACATAAGCACATGTTTTTTAAACAGTTTAAATATAATGTCAGACACATTACACTGTTATGATTGACAGTTGCTTTGAAACAGCTCACAAGGACCAAAAACATTCATTATGCTAAAGATTGTCTTAAAGATTTTAAACAAACAACAAAAAACGTAAAAGTTAAACAAAATTTATCTGGAAAATAAGTATAATATAAACTTTAACTCAGCTAAGTGATATTAAATACAGAAACCGTAACATTTTCACATAAGTCTTACATTTGAAGAGAGAGGGAGAGGAAAAAAAGGCTCAAA